CTTTCTCTAGAGCAAGCGATCCAAGAGGCCAAGGTGGAAGCTGCAATACCTTTATGACCTGATCTTGGAAGACCCACATTGTCGCTTTTTCTGTTTCCTTGGTCCTCCAGGTCCTTTCAGAATTAGCGTAAGAGGACCACAAAAGGGTGTGCATATACCAGGAGGGGCTGATCTCTGGCACCATCTTTGAGGCTGGCCTCCACCATCAGTATTACTACTTTAATTCACAGGAGAGGAAACAAGAGACAGAATGGCTAGGACTCAAGGGCTTAAGGCCACATGGGGAGTTTGCGGCTGGTAGATGAAGCCAGTACTATCTGATTCCCAGGCCCATGTTATTCTACATCTACGATAAGAGGTAAACTTATGTTGTATTTTGATGAATTTATGTTATATTTTCAGAAATTTCTTCAAAATCAAGAAATTCTTCAGAATGCTATCTTGGAAATAAAGGAGTGGGATGAACACATAGTCGGTCACGGGACATGTGGGGTGGCAAACGTGAGCAAGAGGCCTCACTTTCTTCAGTCTATAAATGCCTCATTTATCATGTCTGAAATTTACCTTTACCTGGGTTAGCCCTCTAAAAAAAAGTTTTCTTAATTTACAGAATTCTAAAATGACCAAATAATCTCTTAGGGCTAAAATCACATAAACTCTCTGATCCAGTAAGTTCACTCTGAGGAATTCATCTTAGAGAAATAAAAGCAGCAGAGTGTCGGGCTATAGGTGTGCTGTTTACTGCAGGTGCATTTGTTATAATAAACATTGGAAACCACAGATGAGATGACTAAAGAAAGGCACATCTTTACTAAAGAATAATATGTAGCTATTAAAAAGGATAAACTAGAGGGAGGGATGCCCACGAGACATATTATAAAGTTTAAAAAGGAAGCTAAGGAATGATGTATATTATATGATGCTATTTCTATTAAAAAGAAGGAAATCCTGTATCTTTGTGTGTGTTTGCATTAATCTGGAGAGAAGTGTGGAGAATATTCTTTTGAATAACCAGCTTATCGATCTGGGGTAGCAATGGTTTGGAATGAAGGCAGATCATTGATTTTAGAAGAAAAAAGTATAGAATACCTGTTTAGAGCCTTCATTTATACTTTGGCTATTTCATTAAAATCTCAATGGTAATTAGTAAGTAAAACTTCCTTGATTAAGAGAAGCTATTGTTTTGAGTTTTCTTACTAGCATTGTGACCTCTTCTTCAGGTCAAAATAGTTCCAGGGATTCACGTTTCCTGGTGCCTAAAATGAAGATGTCATGATTTTCCTGAAGGAAGGCTGTAGAAATCACTGTTTTTAGCGGGCCCATAATAAGCCATCCACATGGAAGACAGAATGGGGTGACATTTTGTAAAGAGAGGAGATGATGCCATTAATGTGCAACCTCACTGGTTCAGACTGTTCCCAAAAGACTTGCTGCAAATGCTCTGTAGTTTTGGGGGAGGGTGACCTGTTATTGAAGCCCTCTGCTTGCACTTAGCCCAGCGGCCATTTCTCAGGGAATATTGATCAAAAGTACTCACCTCTACCATCCGAGGAGCATTAATGCAGGCCCCGAGTATTCATGGAAAAAAGCTTTTCTTTGCCAGGCTATTTTCTGAAGTCAAAAAGGTCCTTTCAGGAGCTATAATAGCAAGCCCCTTCCCACTTCACACTCTTGGTGAGAGGTACACTCCACTTTTCAGAACCCCAGGATCTCAAGTCAAGGTGGAAGCTGATGAGTGTGACCTCTTTATGTAAAATATTCTCTGTCAAACACAAGCATTTTGCTACTGGGAGATATGGGACATATAAGTGGAAGATTAAAAACTACACCTGGACACATTGAGGTAGGTGCTCTTGTCCCAAAGAATATTCATTTATTCTTTATTTTTTAAAATTATGGTTTATAGAGAATTTTCAATCACATACACAATGTCCTCTGATAGCTGAGGCAGGAATATCTTGGTGTGAATGTAAAAAAAAATCTAGACAGTGTTTTTCATGTCTGACATTGTACAAAAGGGAGGTGCTAACAGGAGTTTCCTAATTTCTCCTTTGTTCTCTAAGAGGCAGAATCGTTCAGACAAATATTTCTTAACATGACAGCTTGTTATGAATGCTCATCCCCTTCGTCTTATCCAATTTAACTTAGGATAGCGGATACTTAGGTATTAAAAGTATTTTTTAAATGATAAAAACACAAAAGAAGCGATCTCCAATTCCAGTAAATACTTTTATACTACCCAGAAAGAGAGTATCATTCCAGAGTTCCTGCTGGTTTTGTTGCTGTTTGATTGTTTTGGAAGGCACATTTGAGAGTGTTTTGGGGGCAGAGAGAATGTTCCTGTTACTTAAAATGCCCCGGCCTCTCTAGGTTGTCAGCTTGTTGGTTGTGTTACCCCAGGGGCGAAGATGTGGTTTCAGCTGCAGTAGCAGCACGGTAAGAATCTCTGACCTCGATTTTGGGGCCCTACTCCACTCAAGGGTGGGCTTGGGTCACGTAAGCACATTGATATATCTTACCCTCTTTCTCGTAAACTCCTAAAATGTAAAACTTTTTTAGGAGACAATAAATAAAAAAATTTGGCCCAACTGCAAGTGCTAAATTACTTTGAGGATATGTGCGTGCAGAGAGCAGAGGGAGACCTTCTGGAGGCAGGCCTTCCCATGCTCACCACTGACAGCATGTGCAGTCTGCTCCTGCTCTGGTTTCTTTGCCTCAAAATCTATTTTTCAGATCTGAATAAGAAATTTGTATTTCCAGAGATGTATTATCCAACAGTTTCCAGAGTCAGAGAAAAGTCAATTCCATCATCTTCTTCTTTGCTCATAGGGAGAGTAGGTGACAGTCACCTGGCAGAACAAGTTCCTCCATGCAGGAGGCCCTGGTCTATATTGTGCTTGGTCCCTGAGAGGAGGGTCAGGGTGGCTTCAGACTTGGCCTTAGGGAAACCTTCAGTGGCCAAAAAGAAGATGGAAACTACATTTCAACAAGTTTGTGCACTGGTTAAGGACAGTGGCTGCTGCTAAATGGGGGTGTTGTTGAGACGTGGGGCCCAGGAAACTCAGCTGCTGCCTGGAGCTTCACTTTCTAGCCGTGTGAATCCAATGAGCCAAAGGCCTCAGTTTCAGTATCTGCAGGAGGTGGTTGGAGTGAGGGTAGTGACCTGTGCCTTGGGTAAACCAGATACACAGGCATGAAGTTTACTGTCGCATTGCAATGACCTTTGCTTTTTGATTTGAAAAATGAAATGCAATTAAAACCATTTCCATTTACAGAAGGAAGAGCAAATGATAATAGTTGCTCTTGACATAAACTATTTAATAAATCAGAGGGGCCTCAGTTTAGTTTACGCAAACACACAGGAGCATAACACCAGCTCACATGTGTACAGAAGTGAACAAATACAAAGGTCTGAGTCTTAGTGCTGAGAGGTAGATACTCTCTAGTGCAGCAAACATAAAAAAAAAAAAACCTCCAGCATTTTTCCTGGAAAACACAGAATTTTACAATGACCAGGTTGTGTCTTAAGGGTGTTATTATTTTTAAAAATTCTGGCACTTAGCAAAAGCCAAGACAGGCTGAGGAGAACATTATTTATAGCAATGATCCTTTTGGAAACATTCGAAGTTAGATTAGTTTTTGGAATTCTGCTAAAAGTCTTGCATGATTTGGTCTAAGACTTGATTATTTTTTGAAGATGACTAGAATCACTTCAGGAAGTATGACGGGAACCCCATCTTTTTTTCTTTTTCTTTTTCTTTTTAATAAATAATAAACTCCTTTCTGAGATTTCATAACAATATCCTTTGAAATTTAAGCGACTATTTCCAGATCTGAAAAGGATCCATAAATTATGCTAGAGGGTATCGGGGCCATCTATAAAGTAGAATAGTTAGAAGGGGCGGGACACTACACTGAGTAGTTGTAGAAGAGCCAGCTGCTCCTCAGGACATCATCACTGATGTTCCCTCTACTCCAAGGTGCACATGTGGGACATGAGGTAAGGGCTGCCCAAAGCACCACTACGGGGCTGGTTGAAAAATACCAATGCTGAGATTCTACCCAGACCTGGTGGACCAGAATCTAGGTGGGGGGTGGGGCAGGACTCTGCATGGCAGGGCCGGGAACCACTGCTTCTAGGCAATGAAGCTCTAAAACTCCATGTTCCTTCATTCATTCTTTGAGGAACTAAGTATTAAAAGCATGACATAGCTCTTGCTACCACTCAAAAGCTAAAAAAAAGCCAAATGGATTTAGGCTATAGTTGGCTCCTGGGAAGGTACTTGGATCCTTTTTGAGGTCATGCAAATGTCTTGTAAGTAATAAGTACTCAACAAATATTTGCTAAATGGACAAATGGATGATTTTTAGAGAGCTCGACTGTCCAATGTCCTGAAAGTTCACTGCTGTCCAGAGCACAGGAGTAGCCCAGGATGCTGACAGAGGCCCCCTGGGCAGGCAGTCAGAATGTGATAGTTGGAGTCAACACCAGCCACACCAACCGGAGGCCATTATTATATCTTGTTTATCACTTACTCACAAGACAAACTCTCAAAGTCAGCCTCTTGCTCATCGGGGCCCAGGACTCCAGACCTCGGGAAGAGTGGCTCGTGCAGAGGGCTGTCCTGGAGAGATAGGAGCCCATGCTGAGACTCACTGTGGGCTTGATACAAACTGCAGAAAATATGGACCCGGCTATTTAGATCACGAGGAGGAGATGGACTTAAATACATGAGTTTGATGATGCTTAAACTCAAATCCTCGTATGAGTGGATCTTAGCATTCCACGTTATGAACTGAGAGGCCAATTTTCATACTCACATTTATAAACTTCCCTGGATCGGTATTGGCTACCATTTTGGATAAATGTTTAGGCTTTGATTTCAAAAAGAGCTTTTGAGCAACTTAGTAGGGTAAAAACCCAAACCATCTTTTGTTAGATGCCAGGATAAACTTTATTTTCCTACAAACTATAATGAAAACAAAAGAAACATGGCACGTAAGTGCTGTGTTTCTACTTTATTAAATCATCACAGTAAGTTAGAATTAAAGAGAAAAAGAGGATAAACTGGAGTCAAGTGGTGGTCATCTGTGGAGCAGTGTGCTTTTCTGGGCGTGGCACGTCTTTGCTGCAGTGTGTCCTGGCACAATACACATGCCTGCAAGGGTGAGTTACACATAAAGGTCTATATCACCTAGGCATAAACCCAGATGTGGAGCATTAGGAAAATTAAATAAGAGCAAAATAAAAATCTAATGACACACTATAACTTAATTATGATATTTATCAAGTTTTTACCTTATTTACATGTACTAAATATTGTAGACCTGAAAACATAAAACATTCACTTAATGTATATGTCATACATAGATATTGAGGCAACTAAAACAATGGTCGCTTATGCTGAATTTCCCTTCAGAGGCAGACAATCCCATTCAGTAGACATAAAGGTAGCATAGGTACATATAAGACACCACAGTAGGTTTTAAAGGACCCCTCACATCCCCAGATGACACAAATATAACAGTAAATGAAGCACAGGTGGTGGCACCTGAGGAAGGTCAGGAAGACGTTGTCTGCAGTCTACGGATCCATGTGATCTCGTTTGTAAGGCTAAGGGTCCCATCAGTCAGCCCCTCTCACCGAGTCAAGGCGTAATCCCCTCACCGTCCCTGTGGCTCTTAGGAACTGCAGCCTTAACTGTATGAAGACACTGTGAGCTACTTACCCAAGCTAAATTTCCTGACTTCTGTCTGCTTAAGGTTATACTATTTTTTAAAAAGTCATCATTTTGTGGCATTGCTATTTTTTTTAAGTACAAAAACCTACTCAGACTACAGAATATCAGCGTGCAGAGAAGTGAGGGAACCAGCCTGGTTCTGCCTGGAAGCCAGTGACTCTTATCCATTTTGGGCCAATTAGGGCCACTTTTGTTTACAGATGGCTGACCTGCTAATGTGATGAGTCAGCATTGTGACTCAGGTGGATCCCCACCAGATGAGTGACACTCTGCAATTCTGCTGAAAGGCATTTATTACAAAAGCACAATATTTACTTTTCTATGTGAAAAAAAAAAAGACCTCATCATTTCAATTTTCCACCCCAAATAACAAAAACGATTCAAGTCCATGTGATTGCAAGCACCTGTTCACCAGATTCCCTGCTACCCCATTCCAAATTTCCAAACCAAAGCTGGTACTAAGAATAGCGGCTCAGCAAAAGCTCCAGTAGCAAAAACGCTGGCTATAATCTGGGGTCACAGAGTTATTAAAATCATTAGGGATGACAGGAAGGTCTGAATTACAACTGCATTTCTCACTGCAGGGTCAGGAGGACGGATTCCTGGAGGCAAAATGAAATCATGGAACAGAAGTCTAGAGAAGTTCAATACGAATTCCAAGTCCTGACACTTTGACTAAATACAAGAATTCTGCACTGGGAGTTTCTAAAACCTGAAGATAAAATGTTCTCCTAGAAGCTACTTCCTGTCAGAGCCTCTGTGGGACTCCGGAGCCCAAGAACATGCAGAAATGAGGCCTGGGTACTTTGTAAATATGAAACAAAGCAACTCAACACCAGTCTTAAGCCTCAGTGACAGGGGCCAAACCATACCAATCACTAAGCCTAAGTCATTAAAAAGATGTGTGCCCGGGGAAGGGAAGATAAGACTTGTGGCATTTGCTTATAGAACAAAATGCTGTGACTTCCAGTCACCTTTTATGTTGCCATTAAGCCCCAATGAGTGAGCAAATCCTCACTTACAGGACAGCCCCCAATGCCTACGGCTATGTCTTCTATGTTGGAAAATCTGGAAAATCCTTTGTTCTCTTACTTTCAGATCATGCTTAAACTGCTTCTGCTGGGCGGATTTGGGCCCTACTTGCAATCCTCTATAAAGCAGAGAAACAAATTCTCTCTAGAATTAGAAGACCCATCTTTCTAATAGGAAAGACTTTCTCAGTCTTTTCTCACTTGTCCCAAAAAGGAATCTCACTTGTCCCAAAAGAGAATCCTGGGTCTGCCCGTTGCTCCTCAAAGGTCAAGTACCAGCCAAACCAAGTTGATGGCTGACAGAAAGAACTGACTGGTCAGTGAAAACAGCTTCTCTGACGGGGTGAGTAGGCTCAGAGGGTTCACTGGGAAGGTGACCAAAACAGGCTGCAGGTAACACAGGTGGGTGCGGAGGAGAGAGGCAGAGGGCAGATGAGGGCGGGAAAGCACCCATGCATGGCCGACCTTTCTTGTGACTGGGGTCTCAGCTAGCAGCTGCCCCACCCTGTTCTGAGCCAGGGGCTTACTCTGGACCTGTGTGCTCTGAAACAACCTGCACTGGGTGAGGGGGCAAAGCTCTAGATCTGAGACAGGCCGAGGATCTAAGTGAGAAGCAGGTCTTTTCTGTTGATTCTATCTCTAACACCTGCAGAACCCCAGCAAGAGTGATGGGCAAGTGCTGGCAGAAGGTAGAGCTTTTCGTTTTTTTTCTCTTAAAACAAACAAACAAAAACAAAAACAAAAAAACAAGTTCATCATGTCCCCCTAAGAGCCAAATAAGTGAAAAGTATGATCAAAAACGTGCTTTGAATCTGTTACTTTAAAGCTCTGTGAGATGGGAAATATTTCTAAAGTCCCTGCTGTGGTCCTTTGTGGGCAGCAGGCAGGTGAGCATAGTTGCAGGATGACACTTTTGGAGGCAAATGGACATCGCAGGGGTGCCTGTCTCATGCACCTGAGCGGGCACGTGCCCCTGTGTTGACTCAGCGCTGTGCTGGGCGGAGCCTTGAAAGCTTCCTGACCTACAGAGCTTTCACAGGGACAAAACCCTGCATTTCTAGAAACATCTGAGTGTTCTGCGATAGAAGCATCACTGTCATGACCCAGAGGACCTCCAGGACGGTCAGGAAAACCTCTCCCCAGATAGTGGGCATCAGGCACCAGGTGGAAAAACACTCAGCAACTGAGGAAAAACTTCTCTTGGGCAAAAGACCCTAGGGAAAGCCAATTTCCACGATGATGAAATTTTTGAGTAAACCATAAATCCTAACATAAGAATGAGCAAAATCGATGCAGAGAAAATTCCTCAATTTGACGGTTGTTTTGCCAGCCCTCTGTGAATCATGCTTGGGTTTATCAACAAGAGGAAACTACTTGGGGTACAGAAACCAGCTGCGCTGTGCCCCCTCCCTGAAAGCCCAGAATCTCCTGCTGTCTCTGCCTGGAGCAGCCTCACAAACGTCCACATGACAGTGGCCCTATCTCCGGTTGTTGGTGACTTTTTCTTTTCTTCTTTTGAGGCCAAGGTTTATGAGGTTTCAGGACAAGATGACACTACCTAGTTGGAAAGAGTCCAATTTGCAGCATTCTGGTGGGATTTGTCTTTAACTTCGGAAGTCCGTTAACAGGAAGGCTTGCTGAGAGCACTAGCTGAGCAGCAATGTTTCTGGAGTCTCTGGGTTTGGAGGCTCGGGGTGGGGAGAGTTGGAGAGTCTCAATCATCTCCTCCTTGCCAAGAGGCACCATGAGGTAGGCACTCAGGCTGGTGGCCACGGCCCTGCAAAGGAAGCAGAGAAAGGCTGAGTCATGGTGCTAAGCAAGGCCTTTGCGGGCACAAATATAACAGAAGAAACGAAACCAGTTCCTGGGAAGGGGTTTGATGACCTCCTTGTGCTGTGAGGGGATGTTTGCTGAATGAATCAACAAATGCATGTCTTTCCTCTCAGTCTTTGCTCTGGATTTTCCTGCAGCATAAAAGGAACTATGACTCTTTTTTTTATATTAACTTGGCCTTACTGTCTAATCCACAAGTAAAGAAGAGAATGGCATCTGATTATAGTAAGGGGAGGAGAAGTTGATGAAGCAATGAAAAAGCAAGCAAAACGTTATGGGCAGCTTTGTGGCTCCCTGTCAGTGTTATTATTTACATGTATTTACATATTAATATTTTACACCAGTTACAACTTAGATGATTCCCAGGAGGGTCTGAGAGGTGAGGTCAGGACTAAATTGCTTGTCTAAATGAGTCCAGATGAGCATACTGCTATTTAGCACTGGAGGGAAAAGGAATAAAATTAAAGCCTGCATGGCTGCACCGCTC